ATTATGCAAACTGTGACGGGCCGTCGCGCCTGCGATGGTCCGTCCTGCTGTCCATCGCATAGTTCAGAAACTTGATTTTGGGTGAATGCCCTGTGACGGTCCGTCCTTCCATTCCGTTACGAAGTTCAGAGAGTCGATTTTCAGTACCCAATTTCAGATTTTCTAAGTGTTTTGAAACGAGACCCTGCGACGGTCCGTCGTGCACTTGACGGTCCGTCGTGGGATCCGTCGCTTCTGCCAGTTTTTCCAGAATTGAAGTCTGTTGCTCAAAACGACTAAACAGGTCATTACAGTATGGATGGATGGATAAATAAATAGATAGATGGATGGGTGATGTATGATAGATAGAGACATAGATAAATATATGGATGGATTGATTGATACGAAGATTTATTGATAGATATAGGGATGGAGGGATGAATAGATAGATAGATGGACTGTTTTCCTACAAATTTTTGGGTATGAAGGAAAATATTTTTGATGAAAAATGTTATTTTAGAAAACGTTTTCCTAGAAAACATGTCGATTTTTGTCTTATTTTCTTATGTTTGGTTGGTGCATAGAAAATTTTTTGGCAGTAGAAAACATTTATTAAAATTAAACTTATGTTTTTTTTAAAGGGTTGGAGGGCTGGTAGAGGAATGACTGGTGGGGGGGGGTAATAAATTAAAAATTGAAATTAGAAATATCTTTTAAAAAGAACTTTTAATATTTTTTTTATGGAGGGATTGGTGGTTGTGGTAGGGGGATAGGGTAAAAAAAATTGAAGTTAAATACATTTATTAAAAACTAGCTTCAAATTGTTTTTTTTGGAGGCAGAAAGGGGGGGGGTGTTGGGGAACTTGTTTGAGCGCAGGGATAAACTAAATTGATTTTCTAAAAAAAACAATTAGTATGAAGTTGGAAGGGACTTTTGGAAAATGTTTTCCTTAAGTCTTGAAGGGAAGTATTTTTTCTCCTTAAATTTAAGGGAAATGAGTTGATTTCGAAAATATTTTCCAAAATATATAACCCAACCAAACATGAGAAAATCATAAAACATTTTCCTTCATACCAAACACACCCTTATATTATAATTGAAATTGAGATAACAAAAATCTTTTCGCTAAGGTAACTAGACTTATTTGCCACTTTTTTTGGTTATGAAATCTATATCAATTTAATCTATTGAAAATAACATAAATCTCAATACTAAGGTAACTAACCATATCTGATTATTTTTGGTAAAGAAATCTGTGTCTATTTATTCTATTGAGATTTTGAAACACTATACAATGAATGACGCATAGAATCAATTAACAGATAAAACGCAAAATCATATTATTTTCAGTTTCATCATGAGTAACTTTCATCTTTTTGAATCTATTGTTGTCCTTCTCCTTCTAAATACATCAGTAGAAGTTGCAGCTATTAGAATTGAGAAAATTTCAACCAAATCGTTAAAGGTGAAAGAGATTTTTCGATAGTTTATGGAGTAAAAAACTTTTTGATCCATGCGCACATTTCCTTTGGTGCCAAATCCAATATAACCATGGTGGCGCTCCAAATTCTGGAGAATTTCTCAAATACATTTGCTACACTCAAACTCAATATAACAAACAGTTAGCAAATGAAAAATAAACTTTATAACATGTAATAAAGCCATAGGCATATGCATTACAATTAAATGGAGCTTGTTTCATTATATTAAATTAATACCTCTTATTATTTTTATTATATTAATATTATTATAGATATTTTGTTATTTATAGTATTTGTAATTCTTAATAGGTAATTTTAATTTTTGTAATATAATGAATGTTAACAAAATTTGTTGTTTACTAGAAAAACACTAGACACATATATTATATGTGACATAAAGTTCAATCATGAATGATAAAATTAGGAAAAAGTATTTGATATAAATAAAACAAAATATTAAGAGTGTGACATGACATCTCTCATCTCCAAACATTGACATGTATCTTTTTCTTGTTTATTTGGGCTTTTTTTCTTATTCTTATGATCATTGAAATTTATGAAAAATAACTTATTTCATTGAATAAATCATAGTGATATATAATTAATATTAAACAAATTATTTATAATCCCTCTATTTCAATCAAATATTAATATAATATTATTTTGGATGTGGTTTATTTTAAATCTATTTTAAAAAATGTATACTCATCAAGCTAAGAGATAGTAACATGACAAATATATTTTTCATCTTGTGCTCTATTTGAATGAGACATAATACTATTTTTTTTCAATCAAAATGTGATGTATGACGACTCTCAAATGCACACCTTAAAACCACATAAAAGAGATGGTAATCGTGGCAAATAAAAATATCCAACTAAGATTTGGAGTCGAACCCTATAGAGAATGGTATATCATAGATTATTTTATCTAGACATTTGAATTGTAAAATCATTTAGCGTAATTAATAAAAACTAGTGGGTGGATGATGATGAGTCAGGGATTTTGACTAATTTTGATCTTATTATCCAATATTTTAGAGTCCTCAATACCTATTTCATGTTCTAAACTTATGTTAAAAAGCTTATTTTCAGTAGTGAAGGCAAAAGAGCAAGGAAGGGGCATTACTGGGCATGAATAAGCGAAATAGTTTATAAAGTTGAAGAAAATAATGGTTTCTACTCGCCAATGCTGCTTAACAAGCCACCTGGTTTACCTTTAGCTCATGAAAATTTATAGCAGGCCAAACCATAGATAAGACAAACTCGATGATAAAAAAAAATGGTTTGGTCAGGCTCTATAACACCTTAGAATCTAGTAGGTTAAGCTAGAGCTAAGTGAGAAGGGAACAATCAAGGAAGGTAGCTTCGATATCCCTCACCAAGCCATGCTAACATCCCATGAACACCATGACGCCTCATGGTAAGGACCATGGTCCATGGTGATGGGCCTCGTGAGCTAGGAATTATCTAGCCCAAGATGTCAAAGCTGAGACCCTCCTACATGAGTCACTAGAATGTTTGTAAAGGGCCATCACAGGGTCGTGAGAGTGGTCCTGGCCTTGAGTTAGAATTTTTATAGAAAAGAGATGACAAACCAAGCCACTGGTTAAGGGACGAAGAGCTCTGGTATGAGCTGTGTGACTATGGACGAACTGTAGTGCCTTTCATGTTAATGGTTCGACAATTTTTAGTTCAACGATTTTTGGGTCTTTTCCATTTTTAACTATACGAAAGCTATGTCGTTTTAATCAAGACTATGACCCCTATCTAAGTGATTTTAACCCCAAAAAACACCCAATCAATTCATTATTTAAAAAACCCAAAATAATTCCCAAAGTCTTTCTCTCAAGTATTTTTCTCCCTACAACTTGAAGAATAAAAAAGAGTTAGAGCTAGGATCAAGTTAAATTCTCAGCTCCTTAAGAATTTTGTGTGGCTTGATATCAAGGTATGACGAATTTTTATCCATGGAATTCTTTCTTCCATTATGTCCCCAAGATTCCCAAATTGAAAAGTATAATTCTCCAATATGAGTTAGGAGTTTCTTCTATATTTTTTGGTATCGATGAATGTTTATCCAATTTATTGGATTATCATTGCTTATGATTTTATTGATAGGATTACATGTTCTTAGGAAGAATTACATGTACCTAGGCGTTATCTATATCTAGAAAGATGAAATTCATATTATTGGGTTTGATGCCATGGAAGGAATAATTATTAGTTTAGATGTATCCTTATAGAATCGATGGATTACGACTAAAATTTCCTTGAGATAGAGGCTGATGAGATAATATGATATTGATTGGTTGAGAGTGAGCCAAATTTGATTCTTATGAGATGTAAACTTGAGATTAAAAATTCTATTATGAATTTATGATAGAGATGTAGGGATTGAGATTAAAAATTCTATTATGAATTGATTATTTAGATGTAATTGTTGTGGAAGAGATAATTCTCATATAAATTGCTTATGTATTAATGTGAATGGTTTTTTTACATTCTATGATTCTAGGTTGAAAGGATATATCACCTTAAATTAATCTAAGAACTTATGAGTTATGGTGATAATACCAAGTTTTGATTGGTAATGTAATACCTTTCCATGGATTGTCAGAATTTGTAATTTAATGTCTTTCCAATTATGCTTGGATTGGTAACGTGACATTTTCCAGGGATTACTTGTATTTTTAATGTGATACATCTTCATGGTAGCTTGATTTGTGAGGAGATGATACCTCTTCATGGTATCTTTTATTGCTAAGAAGAGGATGCATGTTCATAGTAGCTTGAATTGGTAAGGAGATGATAACTCTTCGTGGTATCTTGGATTGTTAAGGAGATGATGCCTTATCATGGTAGCTTTTATTGGTGAAATGATACCTTTATATGGTATATTGAATAGGTATAATTATATCCTCTTCCATGGACAATGACTTACCTTGGATCGGAAGGCAACATGCCTTCCATAGATAATGATAAACACTAAGAATTGAAAAATTCTCACATCAAGTTATCATAGTTATAATGAAATAGATTACTTCAAGGAAGTACCGTAAATATGTCTTAAGATGATATTCACTTGCATTGATCTTAGTTTATGAATTATGTTTTTTTAACTCTTATGCTTATGTCAATATTTATACAAGCTATACTTTTTAGTACATTTTTATACTAGAGCATACTTTTTCTCACACAAACTTAAAGAAGTTTCTAGCTACAAGGAAACAAATAATAGTGGTGTCTACATACAAGGTGGTGTTGATGGTACAGGACAAACTATTGAATTTTATGGTGTCATTCATGAGATTGTAGAACTTAGATATTCAGGTTGGCAAGAAGATTGTATTATTTCAGTTTGAGTGGTTTGACCCATCACAAAGAGGCACAAAACATGACCATCAACATAATATAATTGCAGTTAAGCACACCAGGAAATACAGAAGTTATGATCCTTTCATCATTGCCCAAAATTCCAAACAAGTGTTTATGCTTCATATCTATTATATAGAGACAAAATTGATTGGTTTATCGTTATCAAATGTAGGCTTGTGGGAAGAATTAAAATCTACAATGTCTTAAATGTGGCGTAACAAAATGATATTGCAATTGTTCAACAACAAGTTGATGTTGAATTGGAAACTACACTAGAACATCCTCAACACATATTAGACGATGTATTTAATGATGAGATACTAATTTTTGAGAAAGAAATGTTTGAGAATGTGAAAAATGAATCATTTGATGAAGAAGAATGAGAGGATAATGTAAGTGAAACAACTGAGGAGGAAGAATGGGATAATGATGGAATTGAAACAAGCGAGGAAGAATAGTGTTGAATGAAGCTAGATAGTATATATGTAAGTTACTGGATTTTGCAAATTTTATTGAATTTTTGAATTTTTAATATATAAATTTTCGTATAGATGTCATCAGACGGTGAGAATGATATACATCGGGATCATCTTTGAGTTAGACAAACTAAACTAGCTAAAAAAAAGTCTAGGAGATTAATAGATTCTGATGATAATGCAATATCTATTTCTACTACGCTAGAGTGCATAAGCCATGAGAGACATGCACTTTTTGTGCCGTTTGGTACGGTGGATCCCCAAAAATATCATCCTATTTTCCGTCAACCAGTCGGTGCTTGCTCTACTTCACAGGCATTGCCTTAAGTGCGCTATGAGGACCTACCTTTACAATTTATTCTTTGGTGAAGACCCTTATCAGCAGGTACTCCACTCCCACATGTACATCTCCTAAGTTATCATCCATTAGGATTAGAGATTCTAGTTGGTACGCCTCCATAGACTCAGTGTTATAAGCATGTATCAGCCACAACTATAACTACAACTACAACTACACCTAGTGCTACTCCATATTATGGGATGTAGCCTCTAGTTCATGTCCAAAAGGACAGAGTTGGTAGAGTCATGATTGAGCCAGATGAGTCATCGTAAGTTTTTTTTTGTAATGTATTTGTTAGATTATTATATTTATTTCTTATACTTTAATATATTTTTCATGAACTAACATATTTATTGTCTATTTTGAAGGTGGTGTCCATCAAAGAATGTTGTCGTGTCTTTAAAAGAAAGTATTAGGAGACAATATACACAGGCTTATCACTCCAGGGGGAGATTCCAAATGGTATATTCCAGACGATGTTTAATAACTTTAAGGTATACATTTTTAAGTTATATTTAGTATACATTATTTTTTCTACTATGTCTATGAACTTATTAATTTTTTTATTCAGACTATGTGTACTTGGGAGACGAGATACAATCAAGTAATTTTGACCAAATTAGAGAGGAAGGCATCTGCAAGACTGTCTGCCTGGCTAATGAATGTACGGATGATGGTGAACACCTGCATTGGATGTTACCGCATGTTCATGATGAACTAGGTCTGTATTGGAACATAGACAAGTTTAAGGCAGTATAATACCAAGACAAAAAGGCTAGAGGCAGTCTTCAGGGTGGCTTGTTGCACACCGAACTCCTTTGGAACAATTGCAAAAGATATGGTTAGTTCTAATTCAAACTTCTAAAAGAATAATAATTTGATTCAAATAAATCGTTATAAGTTTCAATTTTTTATTCATTGGAAAAAGAATTGGGGCGCACTCCCATTGCGCCGGAGGTTTTGAAGAAGACTCATGTCAGGAAGAAAGAAAATGAGTCTAATCCGGAAGAGAAAAGTCTCGAAGAGACGTTTATGAGTTATTTATTATTAATATTATATATTAAAAGTGAATATATTTATAATATGTATATATTTTGATTTTAATTTTAACTTTTAATATGCAGAGTCACTTTCAGGATTACATCGCTCATTATATAGATAATTCAGTTTAAATGAAACCTCAACTTTCCACCTAAATTTTGACAGAAAAGCTGGTAGGGCGGACACACAAAGGTAGAGTATGTGGTCCAGGATCTCGGGACGATGCAAGATGACTCAAGTCGGACTTACAAGGAATTGGGTCGTCTAGTCAAGTTGAGGCACTTGACAGTCTTTAAATTGTTGCTATGTCTGATCAAATAGCTAAAATTACAGCAGCACTAGCAAAGACGAAGCAGAAGAGAGTAGCTGAAAAAGAAACCATGAGTGCGACTGTTCCACAAATCAAAGAACAAGTGATGACACCTACAACGACAGTTCTTGTGATGACGATGATTCTGTGGGCACATTTTTTTTTATATAAATTTGAACATATACAAAAATTTGAAATATTTTGTAAATATTTAAATTTTGATTTAGATACTTTCAAATGTTATTTTATGTTTCTTATTTTTTGTTGTGTAGATTGTTTATATAATTTTTGTGTTTGATTAAGTTGAGTAGTATATATAAATTGGATTGAATTCAATTTGCAGGTGGGCAGCTAGTTTCTGTTGTCAAAATATTTACAGAATTAACGATGAACAACATGGTTTTATCCGTCACTTTTTTGGTTTTTAATTTTTTTCAAAAAACCCAAAAAAATGAAGGATATCATCTTCTATGTAACATCTCCCTACAAGAAACGACTAGAAAAGACTTCAAGATTTGAATATACTTATTTTTGGAAACAATAAGAAAATCTAGAAATATTAAGTAAGTTAAAAAGTGTGTTTTTGTTGACATAAAATAGTCATAACTCCTAGATCTTGATGAATTAGGAGTAGTTCTTGATATGGTTGGAAATACCTTAGACTAATCTTTCCAACGCCAACGAGTTTTCCCAATTTCGATTTCGTATGAGTGACATATGACTTTTGGAAATTGGGTTGTTTGATAAAAAAAAGTTCAATCCATATTTGGGAAGGGTGAAGTTGTGTGTTCCTTACCTAAGTTTTCTTTCAATTTCTAAAGATTTAGAATTCACGATAGGGCTTGGAGAATGGAGAAAAGAGGAGAAAACCAAGGAATTGTCAAGAACGCTCAAGCTTTGCGTGTGGAATTTGTCAGGGGTGATCCCTAAAAAGGTATATTAGATCAAACAGTGTTGGGTTATTTTACCCACAAGCCAATTTTGTTTAATTAAGTGAATATAAGCTATTTTGAATTTTAAGAAATTGAATTCTTGAAGAACATGGTTGAAGTTTTCGTTGAATTCCTGATAGTTATGTTTTAAACTTTTGAATCATGTTTTTGGGTGTGATATCGGGTGGAATCTATTGGGTATTGAGGGTACTAATGATCCTATGTGTTTCGGGAAATAACCATGGAAGTTTAGAGGGTTTAGACATGAAAAAGGAATGATAAAACTCGAGAACACCTGGTATAAGAGTTGGGCGCGGTGCCTCCCATTGCCCCAAGGGACAATCTTTGTCTGTAGGGACTTGGGGTGCTGCGCCAGCCAGAGAATCCCAGCCTTCTCTCTATATGATGAGGGCTAGCGCCCCACGCCTCTTAGAGCTACGGACGCCAGCTCTCCCCATCTTTCTATACTAGTGCCTAAGTGATGTACATAGGTTTCCTAGTTTAGTCTAACACTATAGGGTACATATATACATCATGAAATCATTCATAAGCAGGAGATCATGAACCTTGAATCCATAATACAATTCAAGGAAAGATAAGATCAAAGTCAAAGAACTTAGGAGTCAAGTCATGAAGTTAAGAAGCAAGTCAAAGCGATGTTCTTAAAGATTTTCAAGAGCCTTTAGAAATGTTTTAAGTTTGTTTTTGATATTCAAGTTTCAATTTAAGTAAAGATTAAAGAGATGAGTTCATTTCTCAAAAGTTATAAAGGAACAAATATTCCCTAAAAGTTTTTTTAAGACTTAAGTTTCAAGCTAAATAAAGAGTAAAGATGTTAAGTTCACTCTCTGAAGTCTATAAAGGAGATAAGTATTCCCTAAGAGTTTATAAATTCTTTCAAAAGGGATCATTGATTCCAAGAGAGCTTTTAAAGCTAAGTGTTTAGCAATTATCTCAACCAAGTGAAAGAAGTTGTTTTAAAAACACATAAGCTAAGTATAATTTTTGAGTAGTATTGAGCAGCAATATGGTGATACGAGTACATAATGACATAAGTCTCCATAAACCATTAGTTATCATGGGCATTAAAGGATCATACTTTTTAGATGATCACTTAAGTTAAACTAGTGGATAAACTAAGTTTAATAAGGTTTCATACTGATGGCAAGGTATGCGATGGTCCTTGGAAACATGAGGTAAATTGTTATACAATCACTTATTCTAATAATAATGGTTGTTGGTTAGACAATCTCCCACAAAACTAATATTAGTCTAAATGAGTAAAGTTAAGTTTGTTATTGCTTTATTTGAAATGAACAAAAATTGTTATCAGTTACTTTATAGGATTTTTATATATATATATATATATATATATATTTGTGTGTGTGTGTGTGTGTTTCTTTCACAATCTCTTTCAAGTCTATATTGTTTTACAAAACCAACTCGCATGCTCATAAACTCAATATACTGATACAAGTTGGCTTGCATCGTCTAAAGATGCAGACGCAACTAACTAGGATCCGAATCATAACTCAACTTATGGATTTTCCATTAGTTGAGGCGCAAAATACCCGATGTTTGATCAGGGCCACTATTTGAGGTCACTTTTGCATTAGCCACCCTCAACTTAGGCATTTGGCCTAAGTCGAGGTGCACATGTCCAAGGATGGACCAGGGCCAATACTGTAGATTATGGGAAAGTGAGTTAGAGGTTTTGAAAGAAGTGGTATCACTAAGTGTCAAAGTATTTGGATCAAATTGAACATTCATATAATTTGGTTGGATTCATTTAGGCATTTAGTGGAATGTTTAGAATAACGACCTATGATCAATTCATAGACTCTACAGTGGATTATCTTTGCAGGACTAACTAGAAAAGTTCTAAATTGGCACACACTACTTAAATTAAAAACAATTCTAACACTCTCTGTGCACATAGTTTCATTACTAGATTATCAGTTGGCCCATTTCAAGTTCTCTCTAGGTCATGAAATCAAGTTGGTTCATTATCATGTCATGATGAAAGCCAACACATTCAACATATGCTAGTCTATAACTTATAGCACTTTTTTTTCTAAAATTTGGATGGGTATCATTTTTTAACAAAACTATGATATCATGCTTCTACACACACACACACAATTAATTCCTAAACATGTAGGTTCAATAGAAATTAAGAAGCCTTTTTAGGAAAAAGAACATTGCAAGAAAACCCCAAGAGAGTGTTGTGAGTTGAATTAGTAAGAATTCACCTTATCACTCACAATACATTCACCCCATCCCCATAAAAATAAGTGAAATTGTCCCGAATGCATGCAAAACGGTAAAAATTAATGTATTTGGGTGAAGCAAACATGTGGCGCTCAGAGCCAAAGACTCACCAACAGTAAGGTAGGTTCGATTCCCCAGATACCACTTCAACACTAGTGGGCTAAACCATAGTAGTGTGCGCATCTCGAGGTGAAACACCTTTATTGATGCTCACAGCGATGGATAAAACACCCTTAATAGTGCTAACATCGTCTGCTCAGGTAGATAGAACCTCAGTATTGGGAACAAAACTTGAGGCCCTATAATCATCTCACGAACTCTTTGCTCCCTCATCTTCTTATCTCAGGCAAACTTTTTCTTAGCCCATTTTCTCGTTCCTGCATAGCTTCTTTTGGCCTCTTCTGCCTCCATGCGCTCATGTTTTCTACTAGAATGGTGCTTCTTCCATTTGGCAAGTGTGGGCTCGGGCTGCTCATCTCCACTAACTAGGGCACCAATGACTGAATCATCACCAAGTTCAGAGGGTGTGGACTATGGATCAATAACAGGTGTGGCCAAGATGGAATCAATGTTGGCCCAGAGACGGTCCAACTCAGTCTTGATTAAGGACATGTCAATAGTGGGGTTTCGCCACTATAGAACTCTCATTTCAAAAACATCGAGCCTTTTAAGAACAACTCATATCTTATGATACATGGAGGTCTCCAACCTCTTTTCTCTGTGCTTCTCAGATTCTTCAACCAACGTTTGAGATGGTGGAACAATGTGTCCATCTAATTCTCAAACTTTTGGACTCGGGCCAATGGTACCATCGTGGTTCCGGAGAAGGGGTGGCTCTAGATGAGATTAGAGCCTGACTTGCGAGATGGGAGGAAGAAACTAGTGTATCATTTGTAGCTGTAGTCCCCTCCCGATTCATTTGCTTGATCGCATTCACTAAGTCATTTCCCATAGGGACATCAACTCAAGCTCCCCTCCTTGGTGCTTCAACATTCACCTCATTCTGAATGAGCCTAATGTACAATGTCCCCATAGCAAGAACCAATTTATCACAGTGCCAAATAGGCACTCTAACATCCTTGCAAAGCTGAAAAATCATTCATGGGGAGGAATAAATGATAGTGGTGTTAAACGCTCTTTCATGTATTTCTGCCAATAGAATTTTGATAAAATCTATCTCAACCCGTGCGACCATTTCAACTACCATGACTTCTCCATCACAAGTGACCATGTTGTCGGTCTAAATGGGAGATACTCTATTTCTGATAAAAATCCAAAAAAACTAGGCCACAAAATTAAGTGTGGACTTCTTGATGCCTAATTTTTGTGTAGAAACCCATTCATATCTCTCCCCCTCCAGTGCCTTCTTCCTGTAAAGCCATGATATGACGATCTCTCTTTTATGTTACACCCTTTAAAAGGCTCCTATTTAACAATGTTATATCTATAATCAAAATCTATCGTGTTTGTGGCCCACATGTTGCTGGGGGTTAGGGCCGTATAGAAATTAACTTATGGCGTTGTGGGAGATGTTTACTAAGACACCTTGGACCATCATGGATTTAGCTTGGCCTTCTTATGAATGGACCTGCATACAGTGGCAACATAGGAGGCATAAAACACCCGCATAATCTCTTAACTATACGTCCTTGGGTAACAGGACATTCACTCACACTTTATTTTCTTCAACAATCGGTGGATCTACATATTTTATGAAGGCTCCCTGTAAGAACTCGTCGCTCTTTCATTATAGTCTGGGCCATCTTCTCTATTTCGTTAAGAATTTTGGCATCCAGTAGATCTGTCATTTCCCTTCATACACTAGTGGTTAGATACCATAGCTACTAGATTAAGCTTGGTGTTTTGTGGGACTTGTGTCCTCAAAGGTGATCGCCTCATCAGATGAAGTTGCTTAATCATTATCACTAGAACCCGTGGCAGAATGAGTTGTAGATCTTGAATCCAGGTTAGACTCACGGCTTGAACCTTTATTAGATTTGAAATAG